GTTTATTCTGAAGCTGCAGCTCCGCAAACAGCGTACCCACAATCGTCGCCGTTCACAGCTCCCCAAGCAGCACCCAGACGCCTGCCCGCGGCCTGCGAGGGGCCTTGGGCAGGCGGTCCGAAGCACCTGGCCAGGGCCTCCGATCTGACCGCACGGCCTCTCCCCCGACTCACAGCTTCAGCCCACTCCTGTCCCGGCCTAGCCTGTTCTGTTTCTGGTTTTTTTTGAAGACAGAGTCTCGCTCTGTTGCCCAGCCTAGAGTGAGTGCCGTGGCGTCAGCCTCGCTCACAGCAACCTGCCAACTCCCTGGGCTCAAGCGATCCTCCTGCCTCAGCCTCCACCGAGTAGCGATGGGAGCTGACAGGCATGCGGGCCCACCAATGGCCCCGCAATTGTTTTTATATAGCAATACTCATTGGCCCCAATTAATTTCTTTCTTTCTATTTATAGTAGAGACGGGATCTCGCTCTTGCTCAGGCTGGTTTCGAACTCCTGACCTTGAGCAATCCGCCCGCCTCAGCCTCCCAGAGTGCTAGGGTTACAGGCGTGAGCCACCGCGCCCGGCCTCAGTTCTGCCTCTTGATCAGTTCTGCCATGTGCTTGACCCCCCCCTTCTCATTTGTCCTCAGCCCCCAAACAAGTGACATTCTGGAGACATCTGGGGCACTCCCAGCTGGAGAGCTAACCAGACAGACAGAACCCCAACAACCCCCTTTTCTGAACCAAAAGCTAACACCAGAAACAAACAGATTTTCCTCCTCAAAGATAAGGGTTCTCTTCCCAGGTAAGAATGCCGAAAAATCTGTCTTCGTTTTTTTTTTTTTTTGGTTGTTTAACCCTAAGGAATTTTTACCTTCTGGCACTATGTAAGACCAGTCTCTGGGATGCACGAATATCTTTGAGCAATGGATGTGCAAATTAGAACGCTCATACGACAGATGTTAAAAAAAAAAAAAAAAAAACACACACAATTTCCATTAACAGATAAGTTTCTAAATTCCTGTCAAACATTTCACTTTGTACTGCTATACTCTTAATTTTGGAGAAACTGGGACTATTTTAAATTTTCAGGGATAGAACATGTGCTTTGATGTTCCTCATTGAAACACAACGCTGCTACTTATCAAGGGCATAGAAATCTTTTTGTTGGCTTAAAACATACAGTGTTTGGGTTACTCTTAAAAACCCACAGTTGAATTCTGCAGTCTGTGTGTGACTCACTCTCAAATGAGAGGGCGTCTTACACCCGCGCTCTTCTTTGTTAGGTGGTAAATGAAAAATTAGAACAGAACTGTAGTTCCAAAGACCCTTACAATTTATAAGGAACAAATCTTAAAAATAATAATAAAAAAAAAATGAAAGACTTTGCCTTCAACATTGTATCATGCTGTTTTTTTTTTTACCTTTTTAGGGTCTAAAGCTCAGGAAAAACTAACTGGGGCTGAGGAAGTGTTAATGAAAAGTGGTTTTTTTCTTCTTCTTCTTTTTCACATTATTAAGCCAGGAATCCCTGAGACAGCCAAAGACGGCTGAAAACCTTCCTGGTAATAAATGTTCCCTATCTTGACTGAGTTGTAGGTTCTCCAGGTGTGTGTGTTTTTCCCTTTGGCTTTGGGAGGTTGAGTTTTTCCTTTTTCTTTTTTAATTTATGTAAGTTTTATTATACTTATCATAATGTACTATGTGTATATGTGGCTTCTGATCTCGAGTTTTTCGTGGGACCCTAAAAAGCCCAGAAAGGACGCCCGCACCCCCACCAAAGCCAGGGATCAATTTAGCAGCCTCACTCTTCTGGGCCCTTCCATCCCACCCCCGGCTTGGGATGGGAGCCGTCCAGGGAGAGGGAGCCCACTCACCTGGGCCGCCTGCGCGGGCATCTTCAGCTTGGCCAGCTTGGCTTTGGCGGGAACCTTCGGGTCTGCCTTCTCGAAGGCCTGCTGTCGGTAGTCCCCGGGCGGCGGCTTCAGCTCGGGGGACTCGCTGGGCGCCTGGTCCTGGCCGTCCATGGGCCGCACGTAGGCGGTGGGCTTGTGCTGCATGGGCACGCTCTTCGAGGGCAGTGAGGGCGGGGGGAAGGCCTGGGAAGGGGGCGGCTGGGCGGGGGCGACCCCCAGGCTGGCGGCCGCCCCCAAACTGTCGTCGGGGGCCTCCTTCTCGTGGACCTTCACGGCCAGGTCCTGGGGCGACCGGGCTGGGCAGTAGCCTTTGCTGCTGCTGCTGCTGCTGCTGCTGCTGCTGCTGCTAGGGACCTTGCTGCTCGCCTGCATCCTGGGGACACTTGGCTGGCTGGAATGTACAGGTGACAGAGGGGGGATCGGGGACGGCAGGGAGGACATCAAAGGCGAGAGTTCCCTTCCCGCGGCCAGGCTGGGCGCAGGAGCACAGTGCTGGCCGTCGGCTCTGCGGTCACCCTTCCTGTGACGGTGACAGCCGGTCGCCTCCTGGCCGGGGCGGCCCGGGGCCGGGCGCTGGCTGTCCGGCGGGCCGTAGCTTTTGGCGTGGGCCCCTGGCACCGGCTCCACCCGCGGCTGCGCCATCCTCGGGTGGTGGCTGAGGGCACCGGCAGGAGGCGGCGCGGAGGCGGGAGCCAGGGGGGACTGCAGGTGGGCGCTGGCGTGGAAGGAGGTGGCGGGAACGCCGCCCCTGTCGGGCAGCGACGGGTGCTTCGGCTTTCCCGGCCTGCTTTCGGGGGCATCCGGGCGGTGGGGGTAGGGCTTGGTGGTGAAGAACTCCTTCACTTCTTCGTAGTCCCCCAGCATGTTCTGTAGCCGGCTGGACAGCTCATCACCTTTCGCTGTCTGGGGAGAAAAGAAAAAGAAAAGAAAAAAACGTAGCCGAGTTAGAGAATCAATTAAAAGAAAAAAAATCAGCATTTAATAAACTATGTTATATAATATCATCAAGGGGAAATAGAATTCTCGATTGAACATGTAACACAGAATTTAATGTGCAGTTTTAACTCAATTCCCCTGTTGAAAAGCCTGTCATGAGGCCGGCGCAGTGTGGCTCACGCCTGTCATCCTAGCACTCTGGGAGGCCGAGGCGGGAGAGCGCGGTCAGGAGGAGTTCGAGACCAGCCCGAGCAAGAGCGAGACCCCGTCTCTACTAAAAATAGAAAGAAATTAATTGCCAATTAAGATATATAGAAAAACTAGCCGGCGTGGTGGCGCATGCCTGTAGTCCCACTACTCGGGAGGCTGAGCAGAGGATCGCTTGAGCCCAGGATTGGAGGTTGCTGTGAGCGAGGCTGACGCCACGGCACTCACTCTAGCCTGGGCGACAGAGTGAGACTCTGTCTCAAAAAAAAAACTCAAAAAGAAAGCCTGTCATGGGGACATATTACTCATTATAGGCGACTTAACAACATTACAAAAGAAAACCACAAACGTTGACAATTATGACTTATCAACGTTCAAAAATTCATATCCCCTTTTCAAAAAACAATTTCTAAAATCAGTTATCTTATTTTCACAGCTGTGATCCTTGTTCGGACTCAACGACACCGAACGGTTTCGTCACAAGAGATCAGCATCGTGATAAAAATCAGAGGAGCTGCTTTTCCGGCGTGCACGCAAATACCTTGTAGGGCTCTCCAAAAAGGGGGGTCTTTCGGAAAGCCTCTTGTTCTGGTGAGCTCCTGGTTTCGTCTCTCTTCTCCCTGATCCGGAGCCAGGTTTCTGTCATCGTTGTACAAACTGTTGCAGAGGCCGCAAGAGAACCGAAACGGGAAAGCCGTCAGTGTGGCACCCGAGCTTTGCAGCGGGGACCAAACGAACCCAGGCGGGTCCGAAGGAAGCCATGGCAAGGGCGTGGTTTAGATAGCCAGGTCCCTGAACCCCCTCTTCCTAGACCGAGGCCTCCTGGGTCCCTCAGCTCGACCTCCCGTCACTGCGGGTCCTGGCCGCAACCCGAGCCTCCACTCCTGACTCCAAACCCGCCGGGTTTTATAGCAGCGCGGAGCTGAGATAGATCAGAGCCATTTTTACTTCCAGCTGCAAGACACGGGCTGCAGGCAGGGAAGGCTGTCCATCTTGAAGGCGCTGCAGCATGTGCACCCCCAAATGGCTGCTTCCTGCATCAGCAGCGCGCACTTTGGGAAGATTAGAAATCAAGAGGCCTGTTGCCAATTAAAAGATTACCGGGTCCCAAAAACAGCACTTTTCTTTCCCACCAGCCTACCGGCTGGGATGTGCTTGGCATGCAAATCCAAAAAAAAAAAAAGATGATTTTTATTTACTCATTTCAAAATGGCAAGGATGAGAAAAGCCTATCACAGACGTCAGTTCTTCTGCTGAGGACATTTTATAACCGCCCACCCTGCTTGAATCACGTGAAAACGTACCCTAACTCCGTCCGCAGCCGGCATAAAGTTAAAGTGATTCCTGGAAGAGAAATCACAGAGTGGGGACCGAAGGAAGGGAAGAGTGCATGTGCCTTCGTGCCTCAAGCTAGCATACTAACCAGCCCCAGCCTCATGCAAGACATATAACAAATCACGAAAAATAGACCAAATCATTTTCACAGAACGCTTCTAAGAATCTTCAATTTCCCCTCAATGCCAACAACCAATGGAGACAACGTAATGGTTTAGATAAGACTTAGCACCTAGAAATCCTAGCCCTGGCGGCTAACACCATGTCATCCTAGCACTCTGGGCGAGAAGAGACGCTCGAGCAGGAGTGAGACCAGCCTGAGCAAGACGAACCTCATCTCTACTTAAAAAAAAAAAAAAAAATTGAAAGAAATTAAGCCAAAATGATAAATAAACAAAGACCACGCAATGCTAGGTCCCAGCTATTCGGGAGCGAGCAGCGAGGCCAGGAGTTGGCGTGCGCGAGTACGCCATCACTCACTCCAGCCTGGCAAGATGAGACCTGTCAAAAACATCATCAAACTACTCTGGCGCAGAAACTTCCAAAGGTAAAAATCCCCAGCCCAGGACTAAAGTGAGGGTGTGAACAACACACCAACTCACAGGCCGCCGGCCTTGCTTAATTTCCCCTCAACTCCATACTCCCGATTGTCACAGCCAAGTCACACTGGTTAAGACACCAAAACACATCTTTCCAAACCTTAGACAATTCCAGAATTCAGACCGTGACCCAACTTTACTCGCAACCATTGTCAGAGGCGCTTCCAGATTCGAACAGCCAATAAACCATAACACGAACACGAATAGAGATGGAGAACTTTGAATGCAGAGCAATCCGGCAGCTGAGGCCAGGCATTTGCACAGTAATTCGCCCAAATCACCTGAACACTGATATCAACCCAACTGCATCTCTACAACATCAGAGCTACACCTGGAGAGAGAGGAATCTATACCCGTGCTTTCGATTCAATCACAGTACGAATACTAGGAACCATAAAGAATTCTGCTACATTCTAGTTTCTGAGAAAAAAGAAAAATGAAGCAAACCTCTACACCGAAGCTAATCAAGACGTGAATCCTACAAGCACTGCCAGAATTCAGAACCAACAGATAAGGGGGATACCAATAGATGACAGATACCTTACAAGGAGTATCATAGCAAGTTTTTCGATCACGCAATGTTCGCTTAAAGCCCAGGAATATGGTCGCGAGAGAAGTCCAAAGCACTAAACGGCGAACGTCACAACCTTATAAGGGCTGCCTAAACTGCTTTACAGAAAATGGAAGAAACCATTTCAGCGCGCGGAAACTCGAGGTGGATGCGTGGAGGATCACGGATGCCTGCCTCCAGTGAGATACCGACCAGCTTGCCAAGCTGCGGTTCGAATGCGACACGCCTAAAAATCCACAGCGCGATAAAGCACACGCCCGCAAACTGATCCTTACCCAGAAGAACGCAAGATAAGGAGAACCCTGGTTCACGATAAGGCTTGCAATACCAGACCAACCTGTGAGTCCGCATCATTTGAAACCGAGTCTTAATCGGGATCTCAGACTTGCCCGAGAACCAAATTGCACCAACGGCGGAATTTAAAGGAAACACAGGTGGGCCTATTAAAAACCCCCCCCCCGACGTGGGCGGGGGAAACTGTGCAATTATATCATAGTGCAACACGAGATGAAGCAATTATGCAAGCAATGATTTGATATGCCAGACCTGGATATAGAAACAGCACCTCACGTTTGCGCGAACATATCCACACATGAAAAGAGGCAATAGCTACCCATCAAAGTCCTTTCTGTCACGCCTCGGGCTCCCGGCCAGGCAGAGGAGGCCAGAGAGAGGAAGTGCTAGAAGCACAAAGGGTAGGCTGCCTCCTCTCTCCTTGCAACAACAGCTAGCCACTCACCTCCTGGAAGCTTCTGGTTATTTGCTTTGCTTATGCACTCGCGCAATGCCTAGGAAGGGATTTGTGTTATGAGCCCCCCGCCAGGCAAATTAATATACTAGAATATTATGATGGTGTGTGTGTTGTGTGGTTTCTCTTTCTGCCCATTGTGAGACCCTAGGGATAAGGTTAAACAACCATACAAAAAAACGCACCAAGTCGCAGCATGAGGAACCCTCTTCAGCCACACACACACTGATGTGGGAACCAAGCAAGGCAAGCCAAGAAAGGAAGGATAAATCAGGGAAGCAGGAACAGCAAGCCTGCACGAATCACAGACCCCTGTAACTATCACGAAAATATCGTTACGATTGGTTTAATAAAAAAAAAGATAGTTTGCTGGCATGTAAGACCCAGGTCATTTGCCTTTTATCTACTTTTGTATGTAAAAAACCATGGTAACAGTTGCAAGAAAAACATTTTCCACCCAAATCACTTGACGCGCACGTGCCTGGTTTTAAGCGAGCCATCAGAAGCTACCAGTGAAAGCTCCCTTTTTAGTGGTGTTTAGACACAAAGGCATAAACTTTCGTTTTATTTTGTGTAGCATATCCTAGTTTACTGTAGACTCAAACCCCCCCAACTTCTAGGATGCATGACCTTATCATAGCTCAGCCAAGACCATGCCGAGAAAGAAAGAAGAGCAGAAACTAGGGGATATACTAAAAAGAATGGGAAAAGGTGGCTAGCAGCACACCCATAGAAATCACCGGTCTTTCATGATGGCTACTCAGCGACTTCAGACACTGTTTTCCGCAGCCACGAATTAGAAACACTCCGGCTAGAACAATTTAGCTTCTCTCTTGTCTCACAAAGGAGAAACCAAAGTAAGTACCACTAATGCATGGTAGCCTCAAGTCAGTTCGATACATGTCGTTATTTTCCGCATTCGTTATTAATTGATTAAGTCATAGAAAATTTGCTACAATAATATACTCTACATATGCAGTGTAGGCATGGAAAATGAAAAAAGAATTTTAAAAAGTGTAGACAGACAGCAAGATAACGATAGCATCCAAAACTCACACAGTGCGTTTTTGCTTAATGATAGAGGTGCTGATGGCACACCTGCCCGTGGCCCTGAAGATCAGTATCTGCTGGGAAGCCATAGCCTCCCAGAATCCAAGATCTTGCACATCAGCATTGGATCCCTAAAGGCAGAGCACTCAGCATGGATCAGCTCAATGCAGTGACCTGCTCTCAGCCCTACCTGCATAAGTGTTATTGCCAGTCAATCGGGGAGAAGATAAATGCAACCATGCAGTGTATGTCTCCTCAGAATCCAAGATATATCACCAAGCATTTCTCAGCAAGTGCAAGGTCATAATTATTCATTACCTAATTTTGTTATATCCGATGGGAATGTAATGTGGCATTAAAGAAAATACAAAGGTGTAATGAAATCTAGAACCTTTTGAGTTATGAGCACAGCCACCATTCCTCCCTGAGTCAACCGCGTGCACTTACGTTATTGTCTTGTATCCTCAATTTTAAAGGTGTATCCTGACTTGCGCACAGACCATGGACACAAAGAAATATTGATGCCAGGCTGTATGTTCATGGGATTAATCCATTTTCTGGAATAAATGCAAGTGCCTACTTTTCTATCTCCAGGTTCTGTAACCTGGAATCTGGACAGCATCAGATGAAAGATCCCAATCACTTTATCTGACATGGGCTGAGTGATAGTCTCTAAGGCGAGGAGAATGAAGCTTCTTGTGTCCTCAATTTATCTCTGGGAGACAAATGCATTTACCAGCTTCAACTGCTTTAGGTGCCAAGGTATATTTGCTCAGCCCAACTGCATCTGAAAAGTACCAGCTTGAGTTGGATCACATGATGATGCTTTAGATAGCTTAATATCTATGAACGCATTGCTCCTCATTGGGAAGTGTAGAGTCCTGCAATGCACCGATGATGTACAATGTTTTGATAGTAATGTTGGAGGATGAGGTGATTCCAGTGTTTCAGTGCTGGTTACTAGACACAGCATAAGTCGGGTGCTGAACAGGATACTCTGATTCTATCTTTCATCCAGGCTTCCGGTTTCCATAACTGATACCCAGATAGTTTCACGCCATTTTCTCTGCTTGCTCAGCAGTTCTAAATCGCTCTTGCCCCAAATCTGTTCTATAGCGCTCGTGGTAACTATCCTGCAGTTTGTATCTGATAAAACAACAGACATGGTTTAAGTTCGTGAGAAATTTTATGAAGCGCCGGAAGCGGTAGCTACACAAAGAGCTGAACCAATACTTGAAAGCACTTCCAGTTTGGTCGATCAAGGAACTG